ATGAAAACATTCGATGGACACACCTAAAACCTGCCTCAGAAAACAGAAATCCATTTCGCTAATCTTGCTGGCTCAGGGGCCCAGCTTTTTTGCAGGTACGTCCGACTGGCCAAGTCGGATATCCCATCTGCAACCGTAGCTTCGTTGCACACGGTAGGTCGCAGATGCCGTGTGCCCCTGCAAACTTTAAGACGAAAGGAGCATGAAAACAAGAAAAATCCGTGGGTCAAAGCATGTACCTACAAAGGTTTGCAAACAGAAAAACCGAAGAAAAATGGACATGTGAATGCAGGTTTGTCGCATGTACAGCAGAATAACACAAACATTCAGGATAGAATTACTGTTAATCCTAGTATTTGTGCTAGTATTAGTAGCAATATTATAATGTCTTAAAAGTATATTATCAATACTACAAACAATAGTCATATTGGTATTCAACTTCGCATCAACATTCATCTTACTATTGTTATCAATGCTAGTGAAGTAGTAGTACTAATAGTCGTAGTGGTATTGGTAGGAGTAGTAGTGATGGTAGTAGTAGTGGTGGTGGTGGCGGTAGTGGTGCTAATAGTGACAATAGTGAAAGTAGTAATAGCAATAGTAACATTAGTCATCGTAGGGGCAGTAGTAGTAGTGGTAGTGGCAGTGGTTATGGTAGTGGCAGTGGTAGCGGCAGCGGTCGCGGTAATGGTAGTGGTAGTGGTAGTGGTAGACGTGTTCGTAGTGGCAGTGGTAGTGGTCCTTGTAGCAGTTGTCGTAGTAGTAGAAGTAGTCGTGCAAGTAGTAGTAGAAGTAGTAGTAGTCATAGTAAGATGAGGAGTAGCAGTAGCAATAACAGTAATGGTAATAATCATAGTAATAGCAGCAGTAGCAGTAGCAATTTTACTAATAGTAAAAGCAAGAGTAACAGTCATAGAAATGGTAATAGTAATGGCAGTAGTAATAGTAATAGCAAAAGTAGTAAGAATAATGATAAAAGTAATGGTGACAGTAATAGTACTCGTACAAGTAGAGTACTGGTAATAGAAACAATAATAGTAATCGTGATAGAGATAATAATCGTAAGATTACTAGTAATAGTACTAGTAGTAGTGATAGAAAGTGTAAAATCGTAATAGCAATAGTAATAACCGCAACAGCAATAATAGTAGTAACAGTATAATAACGGTAAGGGTCAGAATAAGAATAATAGTGATAATAACAATAACAGTGATAGTCATAGTAAAAGTAATAGCAATGGTAGTAATAATACTAGCACTAGTAGTATAATATTCATAGTTAGAACAATAATAATAATAGTAATGGTCATAATCATAGTAAGAGTCATATTAATAGTACTAGTACTAGTACTAGTACTAGTACTAGTACTAGTAATAGTAATAGTAATACTAATAGTAATAGTAATAGTAATAGTAGTAGTAGTAGTACTAGTAGTAGCAGTAGTAGCAATAGTAATAGCAATAGTAATAGTAATAGTAATAGTAATAGTAATAGTAATAGTAATAGTAATAGTAATAGTAATAGTAATAGTAATAATAATAGTAATAGTAATAGTAATAGTAATAGTAATAGTAATAGTAATGATAATAGTAATAGTAACAGTAATAGTAATAGTAATAGTAATAGTAATAGTAATTAGTAATAATAATAGCATTAGCAATAGCAATAGCAAAAGCAACAGCAATAGCAATAGTAATAGTAATAGTAATAATAATAGTAATAGTAATAGTAATAGTAATAGTAATAGTAATAGTAATAGTAATAGTAACAGTAGTAGTAACAGTAACAGTAATAGTAATAGTAATAGGAATAACATTAGCAATAGCAACAGCAATAGCAACAGCAACAGCAATAGTAAGAGTAAGAGTAATAATAATAGTAATAGTAATAGTAATAGTAATAGTAATAGTAATAGTAACAGCAATAGTAATAGCAATAGTAATAGTAGAAGTAATAGTAATAGTAATAATAATAGTAATAGTAATTGTAAGAGTAACAGTACTAGTAATAGTATTGGTAAGAGCAAAAAAAACTAAAAAATCAAAAAAATCCTGGATCTCCGGGTCCCTGGGAGGCGATGCCTGGCCGTTGCGCCCCTCCCCTGAGGGTCTCCGGCCTGGAGCGCTTGATCCTCCCTATGGGAGCATTCGGGATTTTTTTGATTTTTTTCATTTTTTTGAGTTTTTTGAAAAAGGCAAAAAAATCAAAAAAACTCAAACAAAATTTTTCATTTTTTTGAATTTTTTTCAAAAAGGCAAAAAAATCAAAAACATCAAAAAACTCAAAAAAACGAAAAAAAATCAAAAAAATCCTGGATCCCCGGGTCCCTGGGAGGCGATGCCTGGCCGTTGCGCCCCTCCCCTGAGGGTCTCCGGCCTGGAGCGCTTGATCCTCCCTGTGGGAGCACCCTGGATTTTTTTGAGTTTTTTAATTTTTTTGAGTTTTTGAAAAAGGCAAAAAATCAAAAAATTCAATTTTTTTTTCATTTTTTTGAATTTTTTCAAAAAGGCAAAAAAATCAAAAAAATCAAAAAAATCCTGGATCCCCGGGTCCCTGGGAGGCGATGCCTGGCCGTTGCGCCCCTCCCCTGAGGGTCTCCGGCCTGGAGCGCTTGATCCTCCCTATGGGAGCACCCTGGATTTTTTTGAGTTTTTTGATTTTTTTGAGTTTTTTGAAAAAGGCAAAAAAATCAAAAAATTCCAAAACACGTTTTTTTCATTTTTTTGAATTTTTTCAAAAAGGCAAAAAAATCAAAAAAATCAAAAAACTCAAAAAAACTAAAAAAATCAAACAAATCCTGGATCCCCGGGTCCCTGGGAGGCGATGCCTGGCCGTTGCGCCCCTCCCCTGAGGGTCTCCGGCCTGGAGCGCTTGATCCTCCCTGTGGGAGCACCCTGGATTTTTTTGAGTTTTTTAATTTTTTTGAGTTTTTTGAAAAAGGCAAAAAATCAAAAAACTCAAATTTTTTTTTATTTTTTTGAATTTTTTCAAAAAGGCAAAAAAATCAAAAAAATCCTGGATCCCCGGGTCCCTGGGAGGCGATGCCTGGCCGTTGCGCCCCTCCCCTGAGGGTCTCCGGCCTGGAGCGCTTGATCCTCCCTAAGGCAGCACCCTGGATTTTTTTGAGTTTTTTGATTTTTTTCATTTTTTTGAGTTTTTTGAAAAATGCAAAAAAATCAAAAAAATCAAAAAACTTTTTTTCATTTTTTTGTATTTTTTCAAAAAGGCAAAAAAATCAAAAAATTCAAAAAAACGAAAAAATCAAACAAATCCTGGATCCCCGGGTCTCTGGGACAAGACCGACCAGGTCTATTTGGAAGATGCCTTCTTCTTTTCATAATTACATATAAGTGTACATTCCCCTTATTAAAGACATAAGAAAGAGCTTCCAAATAGACCCGGTTTTGCTCACACACGGGGGGGGGGCACCATATATATATATATATATATATATATAAATTTGATTATTTATTTACGAATAAAATATGTGTATATATATATATATATATAATATTCATATATATATATATAGATATATGTATATAGATATAATTTACCCTAGAGCTAGAGAGGGGTCCTGGCGATATTTGAAATGCGACTCTAAACCCTAAAACCACTATCTTATTTTCAAAATTAGCCCTAAGTCTTAGACCCTACACCCTAAATCTCAATCAGAAGCCCTTTCACCCCTAAATCCCACCCTAAGCGTCAGCCTCGCGATGTTAGGGTAGGTTTTGTATAATAGACGAGTCGTGGAGTGTCCGCAGTAGAAGACTGGCGCCGAAGAGGCAATTCAATAGATTGGCACCGAACAAGCAGCCAAGAATGGCGCCGAAAGGCAGCCAAGCAAGCTGGTGCCGAACAGGCAGCCTAGTAGAGTGTAGTGCGAGGTTTTCTTGGGAAGGAGGGGGTGGCAGGGGGAATACACAGGCATAGATAATTTTCGGTTTCGATTCGGGTCAGATTTCTCTGTTGGGAAGATGGGTCCCTTTATCGTCTGTCGTGCGCATGCATGTTACATTGTTGAAGTGGAGAATTTGTTTATTCTGCTGGGAGCCCTCCAGTGTGCGATGCTGCATACCTGCATGAGCTCTGCATTGCGTTTCGAGATGCTGCCCACTGCAAGTCTTTGCAAAAACCCAGGGCTGAGTCCATGGCGATTTTGGATAAGTCTTGGTACGAGTCTGCGAATGCATGCTATACAAGTCACGGGGTTTCGGCTGTTTTGGACTGCATGTTTTCTGCATGCTGCTGCATGGTGCATATTGCGTGTCTCTGCATGAGAGATGTACATTGGATTACGACAATCGCCGGTTGAGGAGTGCGCTGCTAGTTGCCAGTCTGAGTTTCACAAGTCCCTCAGAGAGCACAACTAGGTCGTGGGGTGTAGTTGGTTTAGTGTTTGCGCTTTGGGGGGCTGCTGTCAATTGAGATCATGCGTTATGCTTGTACACTTGCTGGTAGGCCTCTTCTAGGTCCCGTCTGACAGCGACCTGGGTAAGTGACACCGACTGCTCAGGGAGATCATGTAGTTTCGTCGAACCTATGTCTGCAGACCTTGCCAGGCTTGTCCGAGTGTGTGTGGCAAAAAAAAGCTTAAAACCAGACCCTACACCCTAACTGACCGTAATCTGGTTTTAAAATGCAGAAGTCTTAAATCACACTAAATCGAGGCACCCCCACGACCTGAATGAAACCACCCCCGCAGCCCTTTAAACCCGACACACAATCTCCAATCCACTCAGCCCTGAACCAATAGCCTCAAACCTTGGCTGCCTCCCCCTCCTCCATGACCCCCCCCCCCTCCCTAATCCAGCCGCCCCCACCCCTCTCAGGCCCAGCCCAGCCCAGCCCAGCCGCCCCAAACCGAAAGTCCCACCCAAAGCCCTAAACTCATAATCCTAGACCGAAAGTACTAGGCGTCTCGGCTGCCAGCTTGCAAGTAGCACGCCAGCAATTAAGTTTCAAGGTCATTTTGACCACGCCGCCTGCTTGCAGCCATGGCAGGGCAAAGTGGGCACCAGTCCTCACTGGAGGAGCTGAACCGTCTGAGGACGCAGTATAATGATACTGGGATCACAACGCAGTCTATGGCCACGCAGCGCTTGTTTTTCGACTCCTATGGCAGGCAGAAGCGTGGACCTCCGACGCCAGTGGCTTCCAGTTTGAACACACCGCAAGAGGGCGCGACGGATCGTGATGAAGCAGCGCGTGCCTCTGACAATCCGCCGTTGGTGGTTCCGGTGACGCTGCAGGACCACACCGCCATGCAAGCAGTCGCCGCACACATGGGTGTTGACTGCAACAACCCGCAAGCGGTGGAGGGCTTTTTGCAATAGCGTGTGGGGACAGCACGAGATGTGCTACAGCTTGTGCGTGGGTACCATGAGGCGGTGGTGAGGCCGGAAATGTACGGCATGGTATTTCAGCTGGAAGGAGCCCTGCGGTACATGAATGATCAACTCTTCGCTACCAGAGCAGAGTTGAACTTCATGGCCAGGGAGAACCGCATGCAGCAAAAGCATGCCAGTGGTCTTATGTTGGTGACGACAGGATGGCCAACAGACCTGCAGCCATCACAACGCCACTACATGTTGGGATGGATGATAGCACAGCTGCCAGAGGCCCGTGCTTTTCTGAAGAACCGTGGGATCATGTGAGAAGGGGAAGACCACACCGCCGCGGAGCCGGAGATGTGGTTCAACGTTTTGCAAGTTGATCCTACCACGGTCCCGCAGTCGCATGGTTTCTTTTCGGCAATGACCATGGTCACGTTCAAAGCGTGGGACCTTCGGTCTGCCTTTTTGTCCAGATCCGGAGGGCAGTCAGGAACCCCTCTGTATCTGGACCCGACCACACCGCGCGCAGGGAAACACATACGTGTTTCCCCTTGTGCGCCCCAGTGGCAGCGTAAGCTTGAAGCCCCGCTGCGCGTAGTGATCGCGGTGATCAACGCACATGCGGATTATCAAGGACAGCGCTTGATAATCCTCTGGAAGTCCTTGACCGTGATGGCTCCGACCGACTCTCCGGATTTTAATCCCGACCACACCGCCTTTGCTCGCTTGTTTTACGAGGAGCAAGGGGGGGCTTTTAAAGGTCGCCTGGAAGTCTCGGCAGAATTGGCAAGGCTGATGCAATCCCCGGCTACAACGCTTGCGGCCAATGATGAGAACGGCTCGAATGAGTCGCTTTGGAACGAGAAGTGGAATGAGGTGATTTGGGGCCCACAGCTTGAGATGGACCAAATGGAGTCTCAGGCTTACACCCAGGCCAAAAATGAAGCCCGGGCCGGAGGCCGTGGCACAATGTACGGGGGCGGTCGAAAGCACTGGTCCTCGACCTTACTCCACAACTCGTACTTTTCCCCGTATCCCTTTAGCATTGAAATCAATGCTGTTGACCACATCGCCTTCGTGTGGGATGAGATCTGCGACAAAGCAGGAAACCCACAGGAAAAGGTGGGAGATGTCAAGGCCTGCACGTATGGGGGAAAGCCCGTGGTCACCGGAGATGTGAACATGGGCGATGAGATGGGACCAGATCCTTTTGCCAAAGCGGCGGCACCGGCAGCGCCCTCAGTTGCCAAAGGCAAAGGCAAGGGATCCTGAAGGGTTCCCATGTGCACGGACCACACCGCGTTTTGTGTGCTTTCCGAGGGTTGTGCAGGTTTTCTAGGGAAGCAGGTTAGCACACCGCAGCGGCCGTTAATTCAGGAGGCAGATGGAGCCCTTTTGAAATTTTCTGAAGCTCCGGAGCTGCTCCTGGACCACACCGCCGACCGAGCGGTCTTTTGCAGGGTTCCCGCAAAGAGCCTCCGCAGTGAGAGTGAGGGGTATAGTAAGGTCCTTCAAGCACACCGCAACAAATCGCTACACAATCTTCACGGTAACACAGTCCTTAACCTTTCCCAACTTCTCCCCTTAGCCACACCGCCCTTGACACTAAACTTGTCTGAGTTACTACCTGTACCCTCAACCTCCCCCACACCTCTGCAATACTCTAGGCATTCTCTTTTAGCAGCCCGAACCCACAATCCTACAACGGAACCTATCATCAAGCTAGCCCCTCTGACCATACCGCTTTTACAGGGCACCGCCCACTGCAAACCCAGCCCGTCCCGAACGGGACGCCGGCGAAAAATTCAGGACACCCTGGGATAGTTTCACTTTTACAAAAAACACAAAAACAGTAAAAAGAAACCTGGAATTCAGAGAATTCGTAGAATTAAACCGAAGCTGGAAAAGCCACGAACACCGCCTCCAAGAGGCACGCCGGGAGCCTTTTCGGGGGCGAACGAAGAGTGTCCCCAACCCAAGGAGGGAACCAATGCACACCCAAGGGGAGCCAAACTCCGTAGGTCCTGTCGCAGGGCCTACAGGAAATGGCGCAGGGAATGCAAAACACAAGGGAACAAGAGGGCGGACTCCTCTTCTTTCCCCCCTCCTCAGTCCACAAAAGCCGCCCCAACCCGCACCAACTGGTTTCGCGACGCAATCTACTGGCAGGAAGCACTGCAGCGTAAACGCAAACCAACAGCGGAACGCCAGAAGACCACACCGCCTTTAGCTTATAATTATAAGTTGAGGGTAGGTGCTCAGAATGTACAGGGCATGGCAGACACACTTAAGCTCAAAAACCTCATCATGATGATGTCGGAGCACTCGCTAGATGTACTTATACTCTCAGAAACCAAAAGCACCAACTACTATTCTTACACTTCGGAGCAGCATCTAGCAATCCTCTCAGGGAACAATAAGGAGAAACACGCAGGAGTAGGAGCGATCCCCAAAGATCAGACCGCATTTGGCTGATGTTGTTCAGGTGATCAATAGGATCATCCACCTCACTTTCAATAAGAAGGGGGGTCGCGTTCATGTTATTGGGTGTTATGCGCCGCACTCGGGGTTGGATTTGGAAACCTCTAGGCAGCCTTTTTGGGATACCCTAGAGGGATATATAGCCAAAATCCCGCAACCAGAAGCGGTTTACCTAACAGGCGACTTCAATGTCAGGTTTCAGGCCCAGCATCGTAACGACGAAGGGGTCACAGGACCTTATACCTACGGTAAGGGGTCACTACACATTGATCACACCACCTCCTCGAATCGAAGCCTATGTGTACAAACCATGAACCTACTTGACATGCTGGAAGTAGCTTCATATAGAACCCCAGCCCCAGTGCACCACATTACGTACCGCGACAAAACCGCACCCCCAACGGATTGGTCCCAGTATGTTCTAGATCCTCTCATTATGCAGCAGGTTTACACCAAAATGCATTGGGAATTTGGCGATAAAGCTCTAGAGGTAGCCTCGCACGTCAGAGCCTTCTTGCCACTAGAACAACAACTGCCCCCGAAACAGCTTGAGCCACAACCAGATCCTACCAGGTTCCAGAGATTTGACCACACCTTCACACGTAGGCAGTGGTTATCCTCTATTAACTCGTGTAGATCTAAGCTTCATACAGGGTACCCCTCAGACCACTACTTGTTGCTAACTGAAATCCAGGTCAAACTCGCAGCGCGTAGTCCCCGACAGCCCCAGCAACCTAAGCTCGACTTTGCTGCTGTTGACCACACCGCCAGATATCAGTAGAATTAAAACCTTAGGGCAATCCTTCACAACACGACGCCGGCTCAGGCACCGGCCACGGAAGGTTCTCCTAGCAGGTTTGTAGTCTATACAGATGGCTCGGGTACTAGGGGTAGGGCTTCAAGGGCCACTCCGGCCGGATGGGGGTGGTGCTCGCCGAACGGGGAAGAGTGGATACAGGCTTCGGGGCCGGTGGTCACCGACGCAAGGGCGCTCCACTACCATGGCGCCACGGTTGGTTCAAATAACACTGGAGAAGTCACTGCAATCATTGAAGCGTTGGAATATGCGCACACACACGACCACACCGCAGTAACTGTCTGCTCGGACAGCGAATGGGCCATCAACGTCATCAAAGGACGCTGGAGAGCGAAACCCAACCGCAACTTGGTTTATCACGCGCAGCGATTGGTTACGCAAACAAGCCTAAAGGTTCACTTTCAATGGGTTAAATCGCATCAGGGAACGCGCGGTAACGAGCTAGCGGACCGACTGGCGCACCAAGGGAAAACCTCACAAATCAGAGAAGGAGACCACTCCGCAGTCGTACCCATCCTGCCGCTTCAGGCCGACCACACCCCCCCCGCGCCAGCGCACAACCTTGCGCAAGCTATGCAGCAAGCCGCCAAGGAAACCTTCCATTACAAAGAACGGGCCAACACAAAGCCATGGATCACGGACGCAACCTTGAGGTTACTATCCAGCGCAAGAGCGGCGCAAGCAGCACAAACGGAGGATTGGAAACACAAAAGGAACCAAACCAAACGCAGCGCACGCAAGGATAGGGTCAACTGGATACACGACCAACTCACATCGGACCCGGACGCAACGCACTCTACACTCTGGAATGTGGTAAAAAGACAGAAGAAGGGGTTTCAAGGGAAAGAGAAACACCTCATAGTCGACAATAAACTTGTTCCATGGTCACAAACCCACGAAGCTTTTAAAAAGCACTTGGAAGAAAAACAATGGGCGGAGTTTATTATTCCTGACCACACCGCTGCTCCTAGGAAGACTAGACCAGCCTTGAAGCCCACCTTTCCTAAAGAAAACCCCCTTTACCCTACAAGACCTTCATGCAGCAATGGCTAGACTTAAAAAACACAAGGCACCAGGCCCGGACGGTCTAGTTAATGAACTCATTTTATTGCTAGATAGAGACGGGGAAAAGGAGCTACTTACGTTATTTAATCAATGCTGGCTAGAAGGAGAATTCCCCGATACCTGGGCGCAGGCCATTGTAGTTTCCATCTTCAAAGGTAAGGGATCAGATACGGACCCAGAAAACTACAGACCTATCTCCCTCCTTAACGCGTTATATAAGCTCTACGCAGCAATGCTGCAGGCGCGTATAGCAACCCAAGCGGAACCACACCTTAGGCAAAATCAGTATGGGTTCAGATCACAACGCGGAACTCGACACCCCTTGGAATGGTCCGAAATGATAGGTAACCCACTATATATGCTGTTCCTGGACTGGAAGCAAGCCTTTGACTCTATAGACCACACCGCCATGATCGAAGCGCTAGATAGGTTTGGGTTGTCCGATAGAATGCTTCTGGCGATTATATTAATCTATGATAAGCCGGAGTTCACAACGCGTGGCCCCAACGACCAAACCGCCACGGGTAAAGTATCTTCGGGTATTCGCCAAGGATGTCCGTTAAGCCCATATCTCTTCATTATCGTTCTTTCGGTCATCCTCCATGATATGGACAATACAGTTGAACACGAAGTAAACCCGTCGTGTTACAAGACAAGCAAAAGCAAGCACTCAAAGCACTTCTTTTACTTGAGCCAAATCACGTTCGTGTGCGTCTTTCAAGCTGCTCTTCATCTACCTCTTGTAGTACGTTCTTAGCTACATCATGCAAGGGCCTGGGGCTCGAGTATGATTAACTCCCCCCTTGAAGACAGCGTGAAACGCTACACTGAACTTAGTTACGCAGACTACCTACTTGGTGGAATAGCCACTCCGATTAGAAGTGGAATCCAAGCTCTCGCAGCTTCAGCTGGCTGTCGACGGGCAGCCTGCTCACGTTTCTAGGTGTGAAGGCAATTATGACGATTCTGTCACCCTTCGTGCAAGGGGTCGTCGCATGTAACCGTCTTGGATCGAAGATCGCTGGCCATTTAAGGATCTCGCCCTTCTCACCTCGACTGAGGTCTGGGCATGGGTAGCCACCGTCTTGTGACTGTACCCACACGTGGCCCCCCTCGAACACTTCAAGTGGGATTACAGCGTTCTTGCTGCATGGCTCGTTGTAAGAATCCTTATGAGTCAAAGTAATTTGATTCTTGGCCAACATCACTGCCGTAAACTTATGCTTAGGCAACACCCTACGGATGAACCTGCACAAAACCGCAGTGACTACTGGGAAGAGGGTTACATTTTGCCTTAAACCTGCGATCCCACCTCCGTGCACGAACGCACCGGTGGTGAAGCACATTGCCTCACTTGCAGAGGGGCGCACGGCGCTCTCCCCTGGCAAGTACGACAAAAGCTGCACAAGGCCTTCTTGTGTGATCTTTCTAGGCAGTGAGCTTGCAAAACGCTCTGCTTCCTCAGCTACGACCTTTGAGACGGTCGCACTGTGAGGGACACCTTCGTGAAGGCACAACTGTGTGAGCATATCAGACCACTCAGCAGGAGGGATGATCTTAGTCAAACCATTAGCTAATTGCTCCTTGCTGTTCACGTAAGTAGCTGAAAACTCTTCTTGCTCAAAGATCTCTGCCATACTTGCCACGTTCACGCGGTGCACGCGCCCTAAGTGGCGAAGCTTAGGACTGTATCCTGACTTCAGGATGGCCAAGACAGTTTCATTGTCTTGGAAGAAGATGATCGGCGCTGTGCTTTTGAAGGCTGACTGTAAGAACGTCTGCAAATTTATGACCTCTGAAAACATGGCTGATGCCATTGAGATCATTTCGGCCTCTGGCGTCGACCTCGCAACAGACGTTTGCTTGCGACTTTGCCACATCACAGGGAATGCATGCTGACCTGTGCCTATGTGGACTACAATCCCGGACGTGCTACGTGAAGTGTAGGGACAGGCTGCGAAGTCAGCGTCTGTATACACCCGTAGCTCGGGAGCAGCATCCCAAGAGCAACTGGCATTCATGCAAACATCTCTAGTGTGATGAATGTACGACACAAGTCTGAGCACTTGTCTGTCCTCCCAGGCGGTCCAACGAGTGATCCTGGAAGCTAAGCGAGTTACAGCAAATGCGATGTCAGCTCTACAGAGACGAGCTAACCACAAACAGCGCATCAAGATGCGTGATGCTGAATCGTGGAGCTCGCCTTGCGCTGAGATATCCTCGTCGGTCATTGACGATTCAGCGATGCAGGGCGTGTTCACTCGACGAAGCTTGTCGGGCGTTGTCCCGGTGATCTCGCAATAGGTTTGGACAATCTGCTCAGCATACTCAGGCATCCTAAAAGCCATTGTGGTCGACGATGGTTCATCGTACCGACAATGCAGTCTACCTAAGATCCGAACACCCTCAGAACCTATGAAACACTCGGGATCAAGTTTGACCTTCGCCCTCACGCTTGCCAAAATGGCGTGTGCAATTTTGTTAATCCGCACAAACTCAAGTCATCGACGTAAATGTTTAAGATGAGAACCCCATCCTTGTACTCAAAGAACCAGTTGCTTGGAAACTCCTGGGACTCCTTTCCGCCTAATGAGATCAAAATCCTAGACAAATACTCTTGCCAGAGCCGTCCGGCCTGTGGATGGCCGTACAAGCTCTTGCGAAGTCGAACGACTATTCGCGCTTGCGCTCCAAAACGCTCCTCCCAACCAGGGAGCCACAACTCCCTTGGCAGGATTACGTATGTCTCTTCTTTAAGCTCAGATTGGAGGTATGCTTGGATTGCGTCAGAGCATGACACAGAGTGCTCCGGTAAGCAACCCCAGAAGAGGGAGGCGTTCAAGGCTATTAACCCCGTTGGAGTCGTACTGGTCTCTTCGAAGAAAACCAGATTGTTAAACTCATCCAAAACCCTATCCCCTCTATAAACAATTCTCCCTTTGAACTTTTGAAATTCAGGTGCAAGTTCGGCATGCTTTACCCCGCACAAGGTCATCAGTTCTGCGACGCGAAGCTTGCGTCCCTGAGACCTGGCCTGACTTCTCAGCTCATGCAGTGGCATGGCTGTTGTGTCATCCCATGTGCCATTTCGGCGCAATCCCTCTGCTTCTTGAGCGATGGCCTCGAGCGCCTTCGGCTCAGCTTGCCATTCTCGGCGGGAGAGATTCTTGGTAATAAGCGCGCTCGCTTTACCAAGATTGGGGACACTTTTGAAGTACCGCTGGGGAAACAAGGATTGTATCACGAGATCTGCAAACTCATATGCCTCGATGCTGGTTGCATTAATCTCTGACGACTCCTTTGTTGACACCTTTGCGAAGTGCTCCAGTACTCGCCTAGAGTTTGAAGCGATGGTGATGGCCTTGTTGCCACTAACACAGGCTACATTGGAAAGCTCGTGTTTCGATGCGAAGTCGATCCACTCAGGCTGCCTAAACACCCCTGAATCCGAACTCCACTGGAACGAAACTCGACCCCCCTGCTCAATGACATGATCGGCAACATTAAGGGCCAAAACCAACATTCGCTTAGATGTGGCTTGCCTTTGTGCAATCTTGCGCGCGTACTTAGGGCTTTGGGATTCACGATGTACGGCTTGATGCGAAGACATATGCGTGCAAGGTATGGTGAACCAAGCATCTACACCTGGGATTGCTTGGGAAACGACTTGTTGCATGTCATCCTGCGAAGTCAAATCCAGCGTTGACTGGGAAAGACTAACACAATGAACCTTACAACGCTCACACGCGTTACTTATCTCAGACTCGTCTTCACAACCATACTCGATCAGAACATTTTCCCCTGGAAGTTCCTTAACCCTTCTGGTGTTGTTGCGCGCTCTCTCGTTTGCGAGAAACCTTGCACTCAAACCAAACTCACCTGTTGAAACCTTGTTTTCAGAAGACTGAACCACAACACCAGCTGGAGCTCGTGGGCCAGCAGAGGAGCTCGCGCGCTCTGGGGCATCCTCATCACCCTCGGGGGCTGCGGGTGCAGACTCCGCCGAAGGATCAGGGCGCTCGACATCGGGCGGTGCCGCGTCTCTGACTGACTTGCTCGCAGCAATCTTCTCGGCTTTAATCAAACCATCGAATCTTGCCTTACATACTGGTGTGTGTACTGTTCCATCGAACTTGCAGGCCTTACAACCAGGTGTTGCGCCTAGTCGCATGAGCCTATCTAAAGTGATGTACTCGTGGCGCTTTGCCACAGGTGTTGATGGTGCCACCGTGCTGAACGGCACATCAAGGAATTCGATGGCTTCATACTCGGCTTTCGTGAAACTAGACAAAGCAGCTTCTGCAGCGGTGAACATCGGAAGGATGGGATTACCGCGGGGAACATGTATCTCCTCTCTAGGGACGGAGATCGCCTTTTCGTACCCCGGTTCACGGTTCTTTAGCTTACCATAGTCCAACACGTGATAGACTTCTCTGAAAGATGATGGACCACTATCGAACCGCCAACCTGCAAACACCCCTGGCGCTGCTGATGCCTGAAACTTCTCACGATATGCCGGGTCAAGTCTGTAGTAGACCAGCTGACCAAGTTGTAATTTCATGCCACCAAACTCGGATCCAACCGCGTTTACATACCGGCTACCCTCAATCCCAACCGCAGGGTGGAAGAGATTAATGGTGTGTGCCGCATAGCGGACAGTATGGACCCAAAGACCCGAATGCAACTGAAAACCTGCCGCAATGTGAAGAGCCCTCGAACACTCCTCAATTGTCCGGATTTCCCGTTCAAGGACTGAATTGTGAGGCCATCTCCGCTCAAGGCTTGGCTCTGAAGTAAACCCCAACGTCGCACATGCTGCGAGGAGCTCCCGTGCATTGTCGCTTTTAAACAATACACAAGGTCCAGAAGCGCGCCTACCGAGGAAGGATAATAAGGATCGTACCACCCCGTCTTCGTGCCTAGACACTAACGGGAATGTTCTTATGTACCCTGTGGCTTCATCTCTCACAGTCAGAACGACGGTTTCAGTGCTTCTAGAGTCTTTGTGCACTATGATGAAGTCAGCCGCTATCCGTTGGCCGAACTCGTCAACCGGATCTAACTCATCATCACACCTTGCATAGCGCGTCCTTGCCGTTCGCTTCTTTAGCATTCGGCTCCGACTGCAAACATCACAGTATGGGTTCTTTGGCATATGCGTTAAGCGATGTTCTAGACTCTGGGCTTCAGTGATTAGCCGCTGAGCCTTGGTTGGTGCATCCTCATCACCCTCATCGTCGGCACCGGAACCTTCCCCTGGATCAGCTGGAGGGGGTGCTACGGGAGGTGGTAGAGGAGGGTCCTCTGCTGGGACAGCGGGTGCAGGAACCTCTGCTGGGGCTGCCGGGGCAGGCTCACCAGCGGCTAAGGCTCGATGCAAACCGTCACCACCAAACCTTATCTGCTCACGAAATACCGGAACATAATCATCGACCTTATGGGCATAGATGACACGATCCGAATCCCAAGTGATCTGAACGCAATCTTCGCTTGTACCGAAGAACGGCATGCTACCGGGAAGCCAAACAAAAGGTTTTCGCTGCAACTCTACTAGTTGGCCTAAAGACCGCACTACCGGGCAGCTTTGTAGAACATAGGATTCTACTGATCCAAAGGCATCGCTCGTTGTAGTAAGGAAGGTGCCACTGCTCGTCACACCATTCCCGGTTTCAAACTGCAACGGCTTGGTTGACCGGATGTGATCGCTGAACATATCAGTCAAAATGCCCTGATCTGCAAGCGCGGATTGGCTTAGCAGGCTTCTCCCTGCCCCAGAATCAGCAACCCAATCAAGGAAGTACGACCCCCCTGAACAGTTAGGTCTACTGACTGTCGCGGCAATGCGATCATGCGAATGATGCACGGTTGCGGGCAATGCAAATGAAAGTGCTGCCGCAAAGCGGGCAAACACACGAAAGGGAGCGGTGATCAAGCGACATGTGGCTTTGAAACCGCGGACAAATGATGAAGGGATGTTGCATGCGCTCGCGCCCGTCGACGCGGCTGCTAACATGGCGACTCCGGCAGGCACCTTTGGGGCGGCCTTTGATGGAGCAGCTTTCTTTGGTGCATCTACATGCTCGAAAGGGCAATCCTTTCCCCTAGTGCATGTTCCTTTCGGATAGAAGAAGCACGCTGGCCTTTGGCCGGATTGTCCTGCTGACGAATCCTTTGCAGCTGGAGGTTTCTGAGGTTTAGCCTTGCTATCCTTACCCCCGCCCTTCCCTTTACCTTTGCCTTTGCCCTTATCAGCACCCTCACCGGCACCAAGATTGGCGTCGGGGACTCCTGGAGTTGCTTTGCTCGGGGCCTTCGGGGGCTTATCATTGCCTTGGCCTTTGGCCTTAGACTTTGCATTTGCCTTTGCAGCAGGAGCGGCGAGCGTAGCCTTAGCCGCAGCCGCTTTCGCGTTGGCATCTGGTTTCTGCTTTTGTTTGGAATCCTCTTTGAGCGAATCCTTTAGCGCTTGCTCATTTCGATCCTCGCGCACTTCTGCAAGAACCTCTTCTAGCCCATTCCAAATGTACTCAAATGTCCTACGCTTGGAACCCGGCTTGGCATCTTTGACCCGATCAATGGTGCGTGACAGCATCCTGCACCCCTTTAGCCGTGAGTAGATCCATGAAAACATTGTTTCGGCGTCTGGCCATTGCCGCTCCGGTAAGCCATTCAACACGTACTCGACGCGTTGTTTGAAGGCTACAAGCGATTGGTAGGAGAATGAGTCAGGTTCTAAATCGAACAAGGATTGTAGTGTCACCAATGGCCCGCGCACTTTATCTATCCGGTATCTTCTGCTAAGAATGGACAGGAGGGCACGACCCGATGGCATCGTTCCAGACGCATGACACCTTTCCAAGTACGACTGCGCTTGCAATCCCCATTCACCTTTTAGGTGTTTCGCATCACTGATGCACGCGGAAATCCACCCATCAAGTCTAGGCAAACCCTCACAATCCCGCTGAAGCGACCGTGTCAATGCAATGCTACCTGATGGATCTAAGCTCTTTTGAAGCCACTTCAACAGGACGGCTTTGCCGCTGCAATCTATTGACGCGATCTGTGTTAACACCGAATTGCGGTAAGCCCTGAACTCAACGCTGGAACCCGGAATTTGGGGAAGCTTGATGTCTTTCAGGTCTTTGTACTTGTAAATGCTAGACTCGTAATCTCTGTCATCCTCGGGCTCGTGAGCCGCAACCGGGACGATTGGATCATCCTCGAAATCTTCTCCGCCCTCATCATCCTCATCTTCACCATGCTCATCAAAGTCATCTTCATCTGCTATGTCGAAGACTTGAGGCTTGAGCTTCTGCGGTGCAGAGTGTGGTGGAGGAGGAGGATGTGCGGGTGTTGCGGAATGCAATCTACCCGTGAAGATGTTCTTACGACTGCATTGATACGGTGGTACCCCAAACTCAACCGGACTAGGAGCAACGAAACCGCTAGAACCGGAAGCCTTAGCTGGGATCGGCAGCGCAACTGATGGTGCAATGGCCCTAACCGTAGCCTCGGCTTTAGCTTTCTGCTTCTTTGCTTTGGCTTTGGGACTAAGGGCTACCTCAATTGCTTGTTCAATCCTTCGCATTGTTCCCCCAACTTCACCCGCGAGTGCCTGCAATGCGTTGAATGCAGACGCAGCCTGATCCGCGCCATTTTGGGTAGAGCTCGCGGGGATAGCCGATGAAGGGATGCTTGGGTTCTTTGGTTCGGCAGCTTGCACATGCGACTGAAGCGCGATTAGCTGCTGATGCATAGCCTTAGATAACTCTTGCTGCTCAAGGATCATCTTAGCTTGCTTTTCGAGCCTCTGGTTGAGCTCACGGTTCATCTCCCCCAACTGTTGATTCTCAGTTCGGAGGTTTCCAATCACCGTTTCAGCTTCACCCTGAATTACCGAAGCGCGTGAACCCAACTGCTGGTTTTCGGACCTTAGCGCCTGTATGGCGGCATACGACTCACCCTGAATCGCAGCGGCCTGGGCACCTAGCTGTTGGTTCTCTGATCTTAGAGACTGAATCACTGCTTCGGCTTCGCCAAACACGGCTGCTGTCTCAGCTCTGGCGTTCATGATGGCTGATGTTGCTTCGGATTGCATGTTCGCATGGGTTACCGGGTCAACCCCAACCTGAAGGACCTGCTGCCGATGGGCATGTTGATGCAAGTGCAACTCCTGATGGCTCGTGTTCGGGCCGGTTGGGTTCTGACTACGGGCAGGGCCAACATTCGCTGCAAAGGTTGGTGCCGGTTGCAGGGATGAAGACCTCGATGCGGGTCCATACGACAATGATCTAGCCCGGTTCCTCCGAATCGGTCCCGAACTTGATGAATCCGACTGTCTAGCTGCCTCCGGGCGCACGCTAAGTGCTTGGGCCCTAGGGGGTGTGCTCGACGATGAAATTTCCAGTGAGGATTCCTCGAATCCCAGTTGTGATGCTAGAGGCATTATGGGAACAGCGGTTCAACCGAGGTCTAAGGGTTGTAAAAATACTTCACCCCAACCTTCAAAGTTGACCCTCAACACTAGAACCCACGGAATTTGCAGTCTGCCCCAGTCCCGTTTTAGATGTGAAGGTCGTACCACAGCACGTGGTCGAGGCTGCGCCTGTCCGACGGCTCCCAACAATAACCGGTACAGCCCGGGTAACGCGAAATATCGCGACAGATGGGATCCTGGTCGTCCACGTGATGAATCGCAACCCCACCACTCCGTGCCAAAGCGGACAGCCGATCGCCCTTACCGTTGTTGCCAACCTTCGCAGATGTAATCAATAAAGAAATCACCCGCTCCGGAGCGCCAACGAAAGAAGATGGGTCCAGCCCCTCGACAACGCGACGCACGCTGTCCCTCACTTTGGCCTTGGTGGAAGATGTTACAGCGAAAGAGCAGACCACCAAGCTGATGTCGGAATACGTGCTTAAGATGCGTTGCACAGCTGTGGCACTCGCGGCGTAGTCGCGATCTAACACCAAGTGACAGTCAAGCGATACCACACGTGTGGCCCGTTCAAGCTGTATCCAGTTCGCGATTTGTCTGATTGATAAAGACTCGCTGAAACGAACACTACGCCTGACCAATGGCCGTGGGACCTCCTCTACCGCCTCCTCGACGGGATCAAGAACCTCCGCTACCGCCTCCTCGACGGGATCAAGAACCTCCGCTACCGCCTCCTCGACGGGATCAAGAACCTCCGCGGCAGCCTCCTCAAATCGGGCCCGCTTAGGCTGTCGAAGAAGAGGGTTAGCAGATGTAACCGTCACTCGAGTCCCGATAGGGACAAACGGAGCTAGTCCAGGCGCCGAAGTTGGTGAAATGCCTCTGGGTTTAGGGGGCGTGGGAGGTCGTAACCTACCGCCCGGAAGAGTCCCTCTACCGGAAGTTACACCCCTTACCGAATCCGAATCACCACCCAAGGCACGGCGTGCTGGAGGTGGAAACGGCGGCTCGCGAGGCGTAACCAAAGGCCCACTAGGAGCAGCAGAAGATACACCAGGAGACTCAAGACCAGAAGGCGGAGGGGTCTCAGGGACAAGATCAGCAGGAGGAGGGGTCTCGGGGGCAGTAGGTGCCGGCGCAAAAGACCGCGGAAACAGTGTCGGACCAGAAGACGGAAGGAAAGTGGGCAAAGGATCAAACCGATCAGGGGTATTACCCTGCTCTAGCCAATTAATATAGGCGTTGGCCGTCTCCAAGTTCTGGCGGTCTGCCTGATTAAGTGCCGCGAGTCCACGCAGCTCAGAAGCAAAGCCACCCACAATCTTCAAGTGCAAACTCCTCCGGGCCCTCCCAGATGAGCCGGATCCTCCGCGTTTCTCAGCTGCCAACAGGAGCGCAGCGTTGAGAGCGAATCTCTCCTCTGGCGTAGTAGCCCCGCGGCCACTCATACAGCAGAGAAGAAAACAATCGGGATGCCTTCAGATAACGAACACAGGTAGATTGAAGTTCGCTATTCCTCTGAAGGCTCTGCTTAGACAATCCTCTAGATTATCCAATGTCCCAATGTCAATCCCTGAAGGCTCAGCTGGGTAACCCTCTCGATCACCCGATATTCAATGTCAACCCAGGAAGAACGACACAGAACCCCCTGGCTGGCACACTGAGAGCCGATGCGATTTGTTGTTTCTTTTGGATCGTTGTGCTGTGCTGCCGAGGCAGTCTCCAGCTGGGATGAGGGACTGAGGAAGCGGTTCGAAGGCCGAGCACGGGAAACACCCACGCTAACCCAAACCAGAAATCTCAATCAACCTCCAATCTCAGCTGAACTCTTACAGGAGGGTTGCTGGGATGCAATCTCACTCCTGACTCGTTGCGGTTCTGTTCTGAGCTCTACTGGATCGCCTGTCGTACCACAAGGCCTGGCCTCCTTTGTCCGTGAACGGGACTACGGGAGAGGTGCTAAGGCGGGGCTTTAGAGAACCCGAAGAAGGTTACCACGCGGATGCCTGAGCAAGCAGGCGAGGCACGCAGCAGATTTGGACCTCACAGATAATGTGTAAAACCAGGCTGCGATGCAGGCGCTGGTTGGGATCTCAACTGTAGGGTTCTGGCTCTAACCCCAGGAGAATGACAGTGCAGGATATGGAAAGTGGTATGGAGGATGGGCAGGTCTCTCACTAGACCTACGGCAAACCGATTTCACGCAACCTCGCTAGTTGCTTGCAGATATGGAATGCACAGACACTTGGCCTGCACGCGGGGCACTATGGCTCGCAGGGGTCCTAGACTCTCTCTAGACGACCACAGTGAATGATATGAAATGCTGAGGCTGTTAACCAGTTGAACACGAAGTAAACCCGTCGTGTTACAAGACAAGCAAAAGCAAGCACTCAAAGCACTTCTTTTACTTGAGCCAAATCACGTTCGTGTGCGTCTTTCAAGCTGCTCTTCATCTACCTCTTGTAGTACGTTCTTAGCTACATCATGCAAGGGCCTGGGGCTCGA